CACACAAATAGATGGATACATTATATATATAACATATATATAATGTATATGTATATACACATTATGTATATAATGTGTGTGTGTATGTATATATATATATATAATATATATAATGTATGTATCTATCTATATGTGCACAAAGCCAAAAGTGATGAAACACACACACACACACACACACACACACAAACATATGACAAATATCACTTTTGGCTTTGTGCACATACTATAGAGTGATCAGAAATTTGGAGAATAATTGGAGTAATTACTCTTCTTAAAGATGAAATGCCAATAGGGGCACCTGGGTGGTTCAGTTGGTTAAGTGTCCGACTTTGGCTCAGATCATGATCTCACGATTTGTTGAGTTCAAGCCTCACGTCCAGCTCTGTGCTGACAGCTCAGAGCCTGGAACCTGTTTCAGATTCTGTGTCTCCCTTTCTCTCTGCCCCTCCCTGGCTCACTCTCTCTCTCTCTCAAAAATAAAATAAACATTAAAAAATTTTTTTTAAAAGATGAAATGCCAATAGAAAACTTTTGAATAGCTTGAGCTTAGAGCACAAAATGATGATGGATCATTATTATTGTGTGAACTCCCTTCGAAATCTCTCTAAAAATAAAAGGGATCAGAGATAAGACCAGTGAAGCCTCAGAACTTTTATTAAATCGCCCATCTTTTCATTTTTATATCTTAAGAGTAGTCAGCTCTTTTGCTGTTAGCACAAAATGACCCATATGATATGTGCAATGGATTTTCTTAACCTTTTATTATAAGAAATATCTATCCTTGCTTTTCACCTTCTGGGGGCTTTTGGTCCTAGAACTTCTAGAAAACCAGAAAGAAATGCCTGAAGGAACAATGGAAGCTGACTTGGAAGATCTGGCCATGGTTTGGGTGATAGGCTCTGACACTGAGTTCAGGGTTTTTATTGTGATGGGAGATACTATTTTTAGAATCAAACATGCTACTTTATGGAAACATACAGTGTCTTTCTTCTAAAGTGCTGGCACTTTGATTGGGCCAGAACAGCATTCACAGGAGGGGCCTGGGGAACACGGCTGACAGGAAAAATCGGAAGACACGGCTCCCAGCAGAAGTGGGCTTCTGGGAGCTAGTTGAAGATTAAGATAGAAGGTATCAGGGTAGGAGATTATTCTGAACGTAGGAAGGCAGCCCAAAGTAAGGCACAGAGTGCAGACCTGGGGAGCCCAAAAGAAGTTGCTGCTGGGAAATAAAAATGACAGAGGAAGGTCAGGTGTAACAATGTATAAAAGAAATAAAGAGCAAGGGGAAAATGGGGAAGAATTTAAAGAGACTTACACTTGGAGGAGAGGGACAAACAGAATTAAATGACCTGGGAAAATAACTGACATATCCTAATGGAACGGCTACTGCGTGATGTGTCATGTCTGTATTTTCTAGAATTTTCTTCTGTCAAAATAACTCAGAAGTCTTTACTGCAGGTGGAGTGACTGGGCCAGAGGGCATTAAGGTTGTCTTCTATGGTACAAATTCTACATTATAAAGACTAGGAGGAGGATTCTTGTGGAAATGACTAGAATGTGAAAATAAACCCAATTAATTTATGGCTTAAATATCTGGAATACATACAAGGGAGCAAAAAATTATTTATAAACTTACCAAAGTAATAATATTTTCAAAAGTAATTGTTACTAGTACCCGAGAAAGGCCAAGAAGAGGCTAACAATAAAACAAGGGAAGAGAAAGTGTGATTTTAAGTCTAATTGGTACATTTATGATTTGGCTGTTAGGAGAGAAATTGATAAAACTCAATCATCTGTCTATAACAGAAATAATAATGCAAATAGGACTTAATTGGCTTCATTTAAAGGGTTCAAATGGACACAGCATAATTGTGGAACACTTTCTGAAGTGAACAAATTTACCACAATTTCATACATAAAGCAGAAGAATTTAAAACTAATGAAGATGTGCCTTATAAAGCCGCCAGATCACAGTATTCCATTTGCTTATTGTAATTGCTAGAAATACTACTACCTGTCTAAAAACAGTGGTTGGGGCTAGAAGATATAAGGAGCCAATAGGTGGCATTTTAACTGCATAATGTCCACTTGAAAACGTAAGACCACCTGTATTTGCAATGTGTTGAAACAACTCTGTATTATATCTGCAAAGCCCTTGGCATTGTGTAGAATTTTTCCTTTCCCCTTAATTTTAGGAATGTTTCCAGCAAAGTTTCAGGTTAAAGAGACAGAATTTTATACCAAAAATTTCAAATGAAAGCTTTGCATTTAAGCTGATAAATATTTAATGTCTTGATGCTATTCACATTGATAGATTGAAAGGTGGGAGAAAACATCCACTCGATACTTCCGAACAAAACAGAAAAGTTTAATGACAGCACCAACCAGAAAACATCTGAAGTTTTCAACATCATTAACTTTTAGGTGAATAAATATTTTTAAATTAATACCAATAATTATTGGCCTCTCTTCTAAACAGTTTTTTCATTAAATTGTGACCTTTTGTCCCGAAGGGACTGTGGGCTCCATGATGTTCACTGGAAACACTACTGAAAAGTCAAACATTTTGTCTCCCCAGTATCTCCAAGACAACTCTGGCCATGTCCAGAGCTGACACATGCCCTTCTCTTAAGTCCTTGACTTCTTCTGCCCCTGCCATCCAAAGCTGAAAGCTATCCAGCTAGTACTTCAGACAACCAGTGACGAAACCACCTTGGAGAGCATAAAAGATTGAGTCAGCTTGAATCCTGGAAGAGTATCAGAGCAGAAAGGCAAAGACTGATGAGGAAGAATGAAGTGCAGTAATTAGTGAGGTTCCTGTCCCGCTAATCCCCGCCCTTTCCACGCTGTGTAAAGATGTGGCTCGTGTCCCTATACTCGCTCCCCTTGTCTTCCTTGCACTTACCTCCACTGGTCACTATACATACATCTGTCTTTTCCTGCACAAGACTTGTCTTGTTCAATGCCCTATTGGACAGCCTAAAGCATTGCCTGGCAATTAGTACGTACTCAATAAATTTTTTTTTGATAGACAAATGAGTGAATGAATTAGACAGCAGCAGATATCAGATCTTGGCGTGGAATAAAGGCATCCGTGCTTTTAGGTTAGCGTCTTAAATATCTCCTCAGGGAGAAGATTAAAACCTTGTTTCAAATATACAGAGCCTCTGTATTTGATGACAACGAATTTTAACCAGACTTATTGTGGTGCTAATTTCACAATATCTAAATACCTTGAATCATTATGTTGTATACCTGACACTAATATAATGTGATATGTCATTTTTTAAATGTTAAGTTAAAAGAATAAAGTTAAATTTGGCAAAAAAAAAAATACACAGCATCCCTTTTTTCTGCCTGGCAAAGTATCTCATAGTATTATATACTATTAAATAATACATGTTCAAACATATTAATGTGTTTGAGTGAATTTATTGAAGATGAAGAAATGAAAGGAGGAATAAAAGGTGCTCAGGAGGGATACCAGAAGAAAGGAAAATGATGCTGTATATAAAGCTGAGGGAACCAGGGCTGGGGGAGAGCTGAGGAGAGGAGCAGGTAGCAGGGATTGTGATACATTGCTCCCTCCAGGTGGGTTAGGCTGAGACTGTCCCAGGTAGCAAATATTTAGCACATCTTCAAATAAAAGTATTTATTTATTTATTTATCTATTTATTTACTTAACATATTTTTAAGTTTATTTATTTTAAGAGAGACAGAGATCGTAAGGGAGGGGCAGAGAGAGGGAGAGAGAGAGAGAGAGAACCTCAAGCAGGCTCTGCACCGTCAGTGCAGGGGTTGACCCCATGAACTGTGAGATCATGAGCTGAGCCCAAACCGAGTCGGACGCTTAACCGACTGAGCCACCCAGGTGCCCCTCAAAGCAAAATTTTAAACTGTGTGTGTGGTGTCTATTTAGAAGCTAGGATGACTCATGGCGAAAGGACCGAGAAGCAGGTATGCCCTTGGTGGCAGCCTTCAGGTGTCCTCTATTGCCCAGCTTGGGCCCTAGACTTGTATCCCCACAAAACATGGGCTCTGGAGACCCACCCACATGTGGAGGCAGCTTAGCCAGGCCACTTGGTCTTCTTACCTCCTCCTCATGTCTCCGTATCTCTCATCCCAAGTAGCTTGTCAAAACATCCGCCAACCAATACTCTGTCCATCTCATCATCCCTCCAGAGATGTTTAAGGTCCACTCTCAGTTGCATTACCAAGCCGCTGCCTGGCTTCCATCCATCCTCACTCTTGAACCTAGCATTGCCTTTGGTGAAGAGTTGGCTGGAAAATGAGTTAACTACAAATATTTAGGGGTAGATTCCAGGAACATTAGTAAAAAATGTTACTAAGTGTGGTTATATGTAAGGTAATAGATAGTTGACACAAAAGGAAATCGTATCATTAGACCCTAACCATGTATCACTCATTGGGCTTAGCACCTGACACATTATTATCTCAGTTCATCCTCATAGCCACCTGATGTAGGAACAGATATCCATGTTATACAGGAGGCAGCTGAGGTTTAGAGAGGATAAAGAACTTTCTCAAAATTATAGTGCTGCTTAGTGAAGGAGTCAAGCCTTAAACTGAGATCCATGCTGTACCCACTGCCTAGCCTGCCACAGTGGGAATTTATTCTCAGCTAGAGGAAGCATTGATATGGATGGACATCAAAGAAGTAAGCGTATCATTGAGGAATCAGTACAGGCTGGTGCTATTAATTACAGAAATGGGGTAAAGAATTGCGTGACAGGGACGTATCTCTGTCTCGTTTCTGCCAGTAGTTTCCATGCTACACCCTAGAATTATTGAAATGTTTTCAAATATTAGTGCCTATTATGAACCAGGCATCATATCTGAACTTGGGACACAGTGGTGAAGAAAACAGAGCTGCTGGGATTATTCATACAACCTCAGCCTTGTTACCCTTTTGGGAAACAGAGCTCTTCATGTGGCCCTACAAACCCAACCTTACCACCCTCTTGGCCTTATGAACACACCCCAATCTATCCCTCTCCCCTATGCAACCTGCCTTTCTTTCTTCTTTCCTCTGACACCCAACTGGCTCCTGCCACTCACTAAGGCAGCTTACTCGCCATGTGGTCCTATGGGAAGGGTCTCAGCAGGGCCACATAATCAATTCATAAGTTCTAGATGCTTTTGCCTTTGTGGGCCCTTTGCTTCATTAAAAATAAAAGTAAAAACTGTATTTTATGGCTGCCATAGTATCTAGACGAATGTAATAATACTATATATTAAAACGTTTTCTTTGACTAGAAGTTCATTTTTTTTTCTTATGCTTCTAAAGTAAATGAAAACATTCTCATACGCCCTTGAAACTACTGCAGTCCTTGGTCCTGTGCCCAGTGTACCTAATGCATATCTTGAGTGTGGGTCTAAGCACCATTTGCTAAAAAGCTATTGCTTACCTATTGCTGACCAGGATGTCAGACAAAATCAGGCAAGAAATATCCTCTTTGGTTTATTGTGGTCTGACTGGGAGTGACATCTCTGGGAGTTTAAGACTTGCCCTTTTGCTTTGATGCTATAATCATCCCTCAGTTGTCACTTGGTAATTGCCCAATTATATTATTTGGTGATAAGTGAAGTTTTTCAGCCAAAAATCCTTCCGAACAGCTGTGATTGGATTCGCTTTTGATATTTTATTTAATGTACAATTGCATTTATAAAATCATAATTAATCTAATTTATTTAATGACCCCCCTCAACACAGGCTGTAGAACATTTTCCAAGGGTGTTTTAATTACACATGAATCAACACCATGATTTTAGGAGAGCTTGAGTGAACTGAACACACATAATTCTCACCATTGGTGAATTTTCCCCCACAGTAAAAAGGTTCTTAATGAATATAAAATGCTTTTCCAAAAGGTTGAATTCTCTTAGTAATTTAGAGATGTATCTTTTTCTTTTAAAGTTTTGGAATCTCGTACCTGACCTTTTCTATTCTGCACCCAGGATAAATATATTTTCTTTGGATAAAGTTAATGATGTTATAACTGATCCTGAACAAAAGGTTAAGTTCTTATAAGAACCGCAATTGAATTTTTGGTTTATCTGTTAAAAGTGGTTTCCTCTGCATTTTTGTTTTTCCTCTAAATGTAGGTGTATCTCTTAATTAGCTTTACTTTAGAGCGAATTCGTGTCATTTCTTGCTTTTAGGGAGACCATGCTGGTGACATTTGGAAGAACCTGGCTGGGGAAGAATGAAGCTCCATTATTTTTGTCTACTTTGCTAACAATTCAGAGTTCTGAAAAGTCTGGATCGCACTATGAGAAGTTTGTGTGCTTAGTGAAATGTTGTCCAATTGGCCAATCCACTTGGTCTTGGGAAATGTCCTAGAAGCTTGGCAAGAAAATGTTCTCAAGAGAGCACAAATGCTGCCAATTTCCAATTGGCCAAGACACATTACAAGGACAACCTTCTCTCCGAGCAACCTGGCATTTCCACTCCAATTGGAATCTGCAACACAAAGATGCACGCGGGGGAAAGACTAAGTAAACAAACCTTTCAGATTTCCGCTCCAGGTGAGTCTTTCATTCTGGTCTATCTGGTGAATCTTCCATTTTACATCTGGTCAGCTCCAATGTTCTTTTGATCACTGACCATTGCAAATATGAGGGAACAGTGGGTGCCTATTACAGGTTAGTTTTAGACGTGAGAAACAGCCAAGGTGAATGCAGGAAGAGTGAACGGATCTATTTTTACACATACACACAAGACATTGAACCTGCCTGAACAGTCCAAATTGTTGCTAATAAAATTTTAGATTTGCTATGTGAGAAAACCTGCCTGTCATATTGGCCCTTGCTCAAGTAGCTCCCAAGCCCCCGGTGCCTGTGTGGAAAATGATGACAGCTGTGCTCTTTGCCTGGCTGCTTCCATTTATGAAAACATGGGGGTAAATGGCAGCCACCCCCACAGGCCCATTTACTGTGAATCTTCTTTTGTAGCCACAGCCAAGAGTAAAGGGCCCCAACAGAATTGAATAACATTCAGGCCCTACCTCAAATAGGTTTAATTTGCTTTTTACAAAAAAAGACCTTAGGAAACTGGAAAAAAAAAAAAAAAGATATTTACCTATTTGGAATTTCTGAAAATTTTTTTTTCTTATAAAACAGCACTCATTTTATGCTATTTTAACCAACCACTTGTGACAGTTTAGGTAAGCAAGACAAAAATATCCGATTATGCCAAATAAAATTTTCCTCCTACAGTTTATTTTTGGGTGTGGCTGAGGAGGGATTAGAAGGCTTGGAAGCCTACACATGTCCCTTGGCAAATCTGGCCTTATTCTGCCTGTAAGCACTGTCAATGATGTCACCTCTGCAAACAGAGCCTAGTAGCCGATTAGTTGAGATGGTTCCTTGAGTGGATTTATTTTTTCTTGTCTCTAAGAATTCCAGTTTCCTTCATTGCCACACCTCTCAGTCCTGTGCTTCTGGGATTGTGATCATGCCCTGTAGCTCTATCTGCCTGACCATCAGAGCAGCGCAGTGTGGTCCCTGCCCTGCCTTGTGCAGACAGCCCAGAAGGGGAGCTGAGGGCACCTAGGAGCAAGCCCAGCCCCATCCCCTGTGTACTCCTCTTGACCCATGCTCCTGGAACCCGAAAGCCATTCTCAGAAAACCTCCTCCACACTAGCCTCTTTTATTTCTATTATAGCCACATTACTGTAAATCCCTTGGCCACCATAGAAATCCCAGTCTAGAAGGGCTTTAGCTGGTGAAGGTCTCTATCAGATGACTGGCAATCAGTAGAGATTTTGTCTTTCGCTCCTGTTTGGTGTCATCGTTCTGTACCAGAGATGTGACTCCATCCTCTGTATGGAATGCCTGGGGCAAAGCTCTCCTCACACATTAGTTATAAATGATGAGTAAATGAGTGGAAGGATAATCCCAAGGGACACACACCTATCAGCTTTCATGTCTTCGATGAATGCTGGGAGACCTTCCCAGATTGTTCCACAGGGTTTCATTCCAGTGTTTTAGCACTCGATTTGCTATCAATACATATTTTTCACCCCTCTTTGGTGCCAGGCATTGTTAAAAGTCCGATAATTCAGTGTCTTGGGCACCAGCCATCAAGTTGAAGGGATGTCAACTCAGCAGACAATCTAAAGCAGGTGGAAGGTGCTTTGACAGGGACATGCACAGGTGTGGCAGGAGTCTGGAAGGAGCACCCAACCCCGACTAAAGGAGTTAGGGAAGTCTGCCTGGAAGAGATGCCACCTCAAATTAAAAAAATAGTTGGCATTAGTGTAGTAAAGAAGAGGTAGGAGAAGGAAGAGAAAGATTGACTTTTTGAAGGCATGCAGGCCTAAAGCTTACTGAATTAAAAGTAAATTCACAAGTTCTTTATTGTATCCAAATCACGTCTGCTGTCTTCTTATAGTCCATTTCCTTTTGTTGGACTAGCTTTGCAGGTGGGAGACTCATCATCCAGCATTTCCCACATAGTCATCTTCACATTTTTTGTGATAAATTCTGTATCCTCTATCTTTTTTTTTTTTTAATTTTTTTTTCAACATTTTTTATTTATTTTTGGGACAGAGAGAGACAGAGCATGAACAGGGGAGGGGCAGACACAGAATCGGAAACAGGCTCCAGGCTCCGAGCCATCAGCCCAGAGCCTGACGTGGGGCTCGAACTCACGGACCGCGAGATCGTGACCTGGCTGAAGTCGGACGCTTAACCGACTGCGCCACCCAGGCGCCCCTGTATCCTCTATCTTAAGAGGGAGGTGGGGACAGTGGCGTTTGCTCAGAAAACAACCACAACAACAACAACAATGTTGTGAGAGAACTTAAAAGTTGGGACATGAAATAAATTTCTGAAGGAGCTGGTGTTGTTCTGCCTGAAGAAATGACAACTCAAAGGTCTCCAAATTTTTGAAGGATTATAGTTTAGAAGATGGATTCATCCAGCCTTGACAATTCTTCATGGTGCCACTGGGTTTCCTGTCAGATATCAAGAATTAACCCAACCCCATGACTGTGGTGCCAACAGCAGTCATTACTATATATGCAGTGCTCTGGATGAACTTTCCTCACTATTCTGAGGTTGGACATTGTCAGGGTGCTGCTGAGGGTTCAACTGAGACCAGTGGGTAAAAGACAGGGATTCAACTTTAGAAACGGTCAGAGGTGCTCAATGATGGAATAAGTTGCTCCTAGATGTGGAAGTCTCCTAACAGGAGAAGTTTTCAGAGGCATGTTTTGAGGAAAATGTCAAACTACCAAGTCTCCTGAAGGCTCTACCCTCCCACACCCAGCCGTATGGTGAAAGAGGCAAAAGAGAAGCTGTCTCTGAGAAGCAGCAAAGTCAGAGATCAGGTCAGGGATGAGGGGGGTGTTCTTTGCATCACAAGGGCTTTGAGCTCCACAGGGGAAGATGCTCCAAGGAAGGCTGGACCCCACACAAGGTGCTTCCAGTCCTACCACAGTATTCATGTAGGGCAGATAAGAGCATCAGTCCTGCAGGGACTACTAGTGGCTTGGAAATTTGGGATCTTAGGGGCAAACGTGACAAGCTAGAGAGTGGTGGCTTCCACCCCTGAAGCCTCCCGAATTCTAAAGTGTCTCTGAGAGAGGAGAGGGACTTCAGTAATGGTGACATAGACTTGCATCTGCTCACATCACTCTAGACAGGCGCTCTCTGGGTGTCCATTTCTCACAATTTGTAAAGGTCTCTCTGGACACTTGCCTGCGGAACTATTTGCCACACAGAAACAACAGAACTCTATTTTAGCCAACCTTGGGTTTACTTAGATCCACTCCCACCACCCAGGTTTTGGGTATTCTGCCCCCAAACCTGACAAATCCGATGAATACTTACTTGACGGGTCACAGCCAACAACTCCGAGTTAATAGGGTACCACCGGGGCGCCGGGGTGGCGCAGTTGGTTAGGCGTCCGACTTCAGCCAGGTCACGATCTCTCGGTCCGTGGGTTCGAGCCCCGCGTCAGGCTCTGGGCTGATGGCTCAGAGCCTGGAGCCTGTTTCCGATTCTGTGTCTCCCTCTCTCTCTGCCCCTCCCCCGTTCATGCTCTGTCTCTCTCTGTCCCAAAAATAAATAAACGTTGAAAAAAAATTTTTTTAATAGGGTACCACCAACCTGTGAGGAGGGGCTGGTCCTGTTCTGCAGTATCTGGGATACGAAAGGCCTTTGTTGTGCTTAAAAAAAAAAAAAGAATAGGTTTTCTAATCAGTTTCTAAAGGTTGCTTTGGCAAGCAACTAGGGAGTAGGCTTGTAATATTTCTTACATACTATGCTCGAAATCGCTAATGCAAAATCAATTATCCCACCATCATTTTAGACACTGTGTGAAAGGTACAAGAGTTATACTAATGATTCAGAGAATACATTTTGCCCCCATGGAGGTTGTGCTGCTTTATCACCAATAGTCCCCACCCTGTGCTTAACCTTGAACGATTTTCCTTTTCCAGCCAGTTGCCTGGTACCATGATGTCACCTACTACTGTTTAGTTTCCATCCACCAGGTCTACACTAGTGAATACTCCAGGACCAGTAAAGTCACTTGTTTGCCAGCAGCAGCAGTTATTTCTGCATTGACCAAGCTGGTACTTTGCTCATCATCAAACCCAGTCCAAGGTAAGCCTTAGAAAAGGTCCAGGTGTTGTCCATCATTGCAAGACACAAAGACTATTTCCCAAGGCCAGGTGTTTTTCCAGAGCTAATCAGACTGCTGTTACAGAAAAGTCCTAGGACAATGTCACAGTGAGGAAAATGTCCTCGATAAGCACTGAGAATTAAAACTTGGTTGCACTTTTTTTCCCCAGAAGGTAGTACAGCACAAAATGACTGCTAGCCTTCAGGGCTTTTACTAATGTTATTTATTATGGTGGCTAACATATATTGAGGACTTTCTATGTGCCAGGCTCTGTGATATGGAATTTGTTGGGTCATGTTATTAAATCCTCATCACCTGATGAGGCATCAATAATATTTTCCCCATTATACGAATGTGACACAGAGTGCTTAAGAAATTCGCCAGAGTCATAAAGTCAGTTCACTTTGGAAAGGGTGGAGGAAAGGTCAGAAAAGATTTGGTGGGCTCTGACTTCCAGCATCACTTAATTGCCTCCAGTTTTGGACCAAGTGCAAGACCACCTGTACTTGAATCCTGGTTCCACAGCTCACTTAGACTGTCTCAACTCAGCTTCTTTGTTGACTGAATAAATCTAATGACAGTATCAACAGCAAAGGGTTGCAAAGATTAAAGGGGCAATAATAATATTAATTAACACTTATAGATGCTTATCATGTGCCAGGCACTATTAATAAGTTCGTCGAACATGTCTGCTTATTTATTTCTGACCACAAATCTGTGAAGTTGATATAATACTATCTGCTTTCAGAGATGGGGACATTGACACACACAGAAGTTAAGTTACTTTCCCAAGGTTGTATAAAAAGTCAATGGTAGAGCTGGGATAGGAGCCCAGGCAGTCTGTGCTTGGAACCACCACACTCTGTTACCTTCCATAACGTAGCCAGAGCCCTTAGCACAGTGCCCACCCACCACATGGTAACTGATCAATAAACGTTCATCATTTAAGAACATAATTCTGTGCCAGATGCTATGATAGCACTTTATATAAGTTATTTCAAATAATTCTCATGACCATCTAATAAGGTAGAAATGAACCCACTTTTGCATATTTGGACACTAAGTTGCAGATGAAGTACTTTGCCCAAGATTACATCTCTTTCTAATATCACATGTGGGTGACTCCAGTGGGAAAAAGACCTTTTGTGTCTTGAGTCACAAAATATATGGTTTTGACCAAAGCCAAGTAGCCAGACCATTGCTACTGGCTTTAGGAATAACAACCAGAGAGTAACATATTTTTATGTAAGCCTTTTACTTACATTTTTTGTATCTCTCAAATGGCTCCCACATAAACTTTTTGAAGCTTACTTAGGTTTGGCTTCTGGAGTCATGAAACTGATCATGGTTTACTACAGTGTGTTTTTTTTTTCTTTCTCCCCTCTGCTCTGACATACAAAGTCTCCACATTTAGTGAAGCTTTGGCACTGCACGATCCATTTCACATTCTAGGGCTCTGCTGCTCCTCACTTTGGGGTGATATATCAGACAATCAGTCACAGCAAGACGCTAAATACCAGATGTTGCTTTGTCAGCTAGGATCATCCTTTGAACATCTGTCTCCAGTCCTGAGAGGGGAAATGCCCTAATGTGCCGAAAACATGGCTATTTATAAGGAAGAGTCTAGCTGCTAAGTAGGCATCAGGAATGATCTGAAGAAGTAAAGTTACTGGAAAGGAAACTGGTCACATTCTGTAAACTCTGATATTCTCAGTGGGTGAGGATTGTAGGGATATTGGCATACTCTAGGGAAGAACTTATTCAGGACCCTTTTCTTGCCTTCTTTCAATCCCAGTGGCTATGTGGTCTTCCTAGGAACTTTGTGTGTGTGTGTTTAATTTGTTAAATTTCTACAAATTTTTAAACGTTCACTTATTTATTCTTAGAGAGAGAGAGAGAAAGAGAGAGAAAGTGGGGGAGGGGCAGAGAGACAGGGAAAGAGAGAGAATCCCAAGTAGGCTCCACATAAACCCAATGTGGGGCTCGGTCCCATGAACTGTGAGATCACGACCTGAGTGGAAATCAAGACTGGGACACTTAACCCACTGAGCTACCCATGCGCCCGGGACCTTCTTTGTTTTTGATTAATCAAGTAAAGGAATGTTTAGAGAAGGCTCATATTTAGGGAAGCCACTGTGCTATCTATGTATTGGAGAAGCTGTTATTCTAAGCTCTTTGCCCTTTCAGAATTACTGTTAAACACAATTTGGTCAGTGTGTCTTTGTAGAATTAAAACTATTTCGATTCACTTGTTTATCCATTCATTTAAAAGTTTGGTTCTGAATACCTAGTATATCTTTAAAATTAATTAGAACCATGACAATACTAAAATAATTGTTTGGTTTTTAAACATTTTTTTTTAGCTTTGTCTTTAGTAAAACAAGTTTAGGGGTTAACCAGGAAAATTTTTATCTTGTATTAGTTTTCTACTGCTGCTAGAACAAATTGCCATACACATAATGGCTTAAAACAGCAAGAATTTATAATCTTACTTTTCTGGAGGGCAGTCCAAAATGATTTTCACCAAGGTGCTAGCCAGGCTATGAAATCTTTATAGACTCCTCCCCCCACCTTTTTATAAGTTTTTTTTTTTAAGTTTTTTTGTTTGTTTGTTTGTTTGAGAGAGAGAGTGCATGCACGAGCAGGAGAAGGGCAGAGGGACAGACAGAAAGGATCTCACGCAGGCTCCATGCTCAGCGTGGAGCCTAACACAGTGCTCGATTCCGTGACTCTGGGATCATGACCTGAGCTGAAATCAAGAGTCAGACGTTCAACCAAATGAGCTACCCAGGTGCCCCCAAACCTTCATAGGCTCTAGATGGCAGTCTGTTTCTTTGTCTTTTTCAGCTTCGAGGGACCTGCTGCATCCCTTGGTTTATGGTCTTTTCCTCTATCTTTCAAGCTGGTACCATATCATCTTAAAATCTCTGACAAATCTCTTTTTGACTCTGGCCCTCTGCTTCCATTGTCATACATCTCCTTCCTTTTATGACTCAGATTCTCCTCTCATATCTCACATCTCAAAATATCCCCCTCATAATGGCCCTTAGGACACTTGTAATGACACTGAGCTCACCCAGATAATCTAAGATAATCTTCCCACCTCAAGAATCTTAATCACATTTGCAAAGTAACTTTTACCACGTGTACTAGTTTCTTTAGGCTGCTCTAAAAAAGTAACACAAACTTGGTGGCTTAAAACAGCAGAAACTTATTGTTCTAGATGCTAGAAATTCCAAATCAAAGGGTCAACAAGGCCATGTTCCTCCTGAGACTCTCCATAGAAGTCGTCCTTGCCTCTTCCTAGCTCTTGGAGGTGGCTATAACTCTTGGCATTCCTTGGCTTGTGGCTGTATCACTCCATTGTCTGCTATTCTGGTCACATGGTTCTCCCTGTGTTTGTCTTCTCCTGGCATTTTCTTCTTCTTATGTAGACACTAGTCATATCAGATTAGGGCGCACTCTAATGACCTAATCTTAATTTGGTTACATCTGCAAAGATCCTATTTCCAAATTCAGTCATGTTCATAGGCACACGGGTGTTAGGACATCAACATGTCTTTTTTGGAGGATGCAATTTAACCCATAATACCATGTAAGATAATCATATGCCCTATATCCCTAGGTTACAGATAATAAAATTAAGAACCTCTGAGCATAAAGGGCTTGCTTGGGTTCCCAGTGGGGGTCTGAGCTGAGTCTAAAATCCAGATCTGTGGACCTTCTGGACTATGCAACTTCTTCCTGGGTAGGTAAATGCTTACTCTAGTGTCACATTAGAGTCCTTGGAACAGAAATTGTATTCAAATCATTGACAAGGACAAAGATTTAGAAGTTTTGATGGCTATTTTTAAGGAATGCAATGGTCTGGCTTTATGGCCTTGAGGAAATCACCTTTTAAATTTGACCTTAGTTAGTTAAACTTTGAAACCGGATTATCATACAAATTTAAAATAAAATTGACTGGTGACTAATTAAAGGATCCTAACAAACCCAATGAGCAGGGAGAGCCACAGAATGAAGGAGCAGTACTTTATGTTAAAAGCCTGCAGGCAGAGCATAGGCATGGGTGTGGGATCAAACACACGAGCAGGACAAAGTTCTTGCCGGCTGGTCCCTGAACCCTTCCTCTGCATGTCAAAACACTTAGAAGCTACCTTCTTGCTTTCAATGATAGCGTTTAAAATCTAAAGCCCATATTCCTTCTTTAGCACCAATTATTAAAAAGAAAAAATAGAACATTTCAGCTATTTTAGCCCTTCCTGAATTTCCTCCACTTTTCATTTGTTCTTAAAACTCTCAAGACTCTAAGATGAAAATTTTTCCTTTAATTAATAAAGACGGTAGGAAATACTTCACACGCCCCATTGTCAAACCCATGGTTTAAACTTGGAAAAATGAAAAAAGTGAGAGTTGGAATCTCCCCAAACCCCAATTAGGTCAAGTGGAGCTACATTTTAGAGAAAGAATGAGGAAAGCCTCCCTCGCGGATCTGTATCTCTAAATAGGTTGGGGATTTGCCAACGCTCTGGGTTAATCATGATGAGAAGGGAAACGGCTGGCTTTGCTGTCACTTAATACACAGGGAGCAGGAAGAGTCTGGAAATGTGAACTTGATCTTTTCCTCTTGGTATGTCATGTATATGTGATATAAGGGGCACACTTTTACAGAGGAGCCCACGGTTTCTTTTGAAAATGTTCTCTGTGCAAAGTGGGAGATAATATTGGACAGATCCATGCACGGAGACCCTGATGAGCAGGTGCACTCCCACCCAGCTCTGCCCTCCCCACTCCACTTCCTGTGTGACTTGAGGAATCAGTTGGCCTCTCTTGCCATTAGATCCCACACCTATAAATAAAGGATCGGATAAATCTTAAAGGATTCTATAATTCTATATGACGTTCAAAGAATAATCTCTTCATTATTATCTCTTCATTATTACCAAAGACATGTGTGGAAAGCATCACCTCCTCACACAGT